ATCAAGCACTTATTACTTCTCGTATATCAGAGCAAATTATCAACTAATATTACTGTTCAGGTTTTTTCGGGACATGTTTCCAAGATTTTCTCAGATGGAGTCAAATCAGCAATTATCAGTAGTTACTTTGCAGATTCGGCAATATGACAAAAGAGAGTACCAAGCAGGAATAGACTTTCCGAGAAACTTGATAAATGAGGAGGGTCAGCTTCATTCAATGAATACATAGCAAACGGATAGAGTAAAATATTGTTGTTAAAGCAGCTATCAGTTCACAAATGACTGCAAATGGTGCCATAAGCGCTCTACAGGAACGAATGTAAAATCAGGAAAACCAAGCAGCTGAGTTATTCAGCCTCCAGCCCCCTGGTTTACTATCCATTTTTGCAATTGCCCCGCTTGAGAAAGATTGCAAAAAAGCAAGTTATAAAGAGCATAGACTCAATGAACTACAGAAAAAGATTCATTATCTTCGACCCAAGCGCTTTATGGAGGTCATCACTATAAAGACATGAAATTTTTGATTCAGTACTGTTGCAACCAATTCCATTCAGTTCATCTACAGCGTAGTGCAGTGTTCAGTAATTCACTATGGAGCTGACTAGAAGGGTAATAATCACCTTGAGACTGTCTTCGTCTCCTTGAGCTATCATGATCAGCTCTTCGGCGTTGCTCACATATCCTTCAGACATTTCATCTGATGATGCCATTTTTGACCATAGTTTCAAGCAAATCCAAAAAGTTTGCAGAGCACTGAAAGATCGTCCAATTTCTTTTTTTATCAAGTGATCCGACTTAATGTATCCAAATGTCCATGGAGCACACAAAGGTGCCTGAGCCGCTTCTCTGACTTAAATGACTACTTACTAATTAGCATAACTGCACAGGAATACATAAAAAACTGAAACCAGTAAAGCAAAGCACAATTTTTGAAGTGGCTCTGAGGGCAGTATGATTTTCCCCGAAATCGCTACAAAAAGATCTGATCGCAGTCATATAAAACACGCTAGCATAGCTCAAAGTGCTTAGAACTTTGTATTTTGCGAATTGACCAGCGGTTTGTATGGTTTAATATACAATTATATCATTTTCTTCTGAAAAAGTGATCATTAAACTAGTGACAATCCCTAGATTTGCTAGATTTGAGCTGCTATTTCGACACAGGGAGCAAAGTGGACTAGAGGAGGTACATCTTACCCTTATGGAAAACTATTACACACGACGAAACTGATAAACCAAACCTTACTGGAAAGGAAATCGAACCTCGAACGGGCAGTCGTATGATAGAGGCATTTTTCCGAGGCACATAGGAGAACAGCAAACCTTTTTGCGTATTCACAACTTTTCATCTTCTTCAATCCACTTTTCAGGACGTCCTTTCCGAATATCGCAATGCCCGTTTGTCTTAGTGCATCTTCACCTCCTTCGACCATCGATACATTTACCAATTCTCCAGCTCGTACCTGAGCCGAGCGAAATTAATGACCAGTGACTATGTCGGCCACATACGTATCCAAAACGTCACTACGATTCTAAGTAGTATTTGAATGTGAGGCGCACCCCAGAAACGGGACTGTTTAATGTCAAAGATTTTCATATTACAGTATACTTACAACAAAATTGATCCTGGTGATCCTAAAGCAGTAAATAGCAAACAGTAAACAGCACTCAAGATATTCTCTCACCTTCATCTTAAACATTGAGTCAATGCAATTCCCAACAGCGTACTGAACTTCTTGGGCTCTAGGTCGTTGCAGCAGGTTTGTCAAAGCTTCCACCTTTGCTTCGTTGCTCCAATGCGGGAAAGCAGCACATATATGTCGAAAAGACCATGGCTTATTGGCTGTCTGAAGCATCAAATCCTGCTGACTGCCAAACAAACTCTTCAGGTTCCAAACCTGTATCCACTTCGCCACTCCTTCATGGCTAAGACGGCCAACTAGATGATCAATCAAATTGCTACCAGTTAGCGAATCGAAACTCTCAGCTNGCAGCACATATATGTCGAAAAGACCATGGCTTATTGGCTGTCTGAAGCTCAAATCCTGCTAACTGCCAAACAAACTCTGCAAGTTCCAAACCTGTATCCACTTCGCCACTCCTTCATGGCTAAGACGGCCAACTAGATGATCAATCAAATTGCTACCAGTTAGCGAATCGAAACTCTCAGCTGTATCAAGAGCATTGATCACTTCGATCAGCTCCGAATCATCCTTCACAGCGCTCAAAACTTCCTCAGTGAATTTACAGAAATCCGCTATCTGAAAAAAGATATTTGCTCCATCCTTCAAATCGGATCTGAAATCAGTGACTATATCACAGGCTACGTTTCCAAAACGTGCTATTTTCGATGAATGTCAAGCATGTGACGAGGATGGTGGCCCGTAGAGATGAGAAAAACAGAAGAAAGGGACATTCTCTCGCTCGACCAAGTATTATATGAAAGAAGACTCAGAGCGAAAAGAAAGGCTCACAACAAGGCTGGTTTGAGCGAGATAAGCTAAGTTTGTGCCGGAAAGCATAAGTTCGGGTTCAAGTCCCGTCCGAGGCCGAAGTTTTGTCCACAAAACGCCAACCTTGTAGGTCTGCAGCATTTTCATTCAACATACACGTCGGCTGTAGGGCTTCAAACATAGAAAACATAGGAAAAGATTGATAATCCTTCGACTTTTCTGTGATTTATTATTATTGCCACTAAAACCTCCGCTTCCACTCCCTACTGGCATCACATTAATCAAGATCAGTGGTTTAGAATGGTGACGATGACCAGCAGTTAAGCCTTTTCTAACGGAAAATCATGCTTATAGGGCGAACAGATTAGAAATACAGAAAATAGAACATAAATCCTATCGATAATTCTCACTCGGTGGCGTTGGGGAAGTCCTTCTCACTTTTATTATATGCCTATTGTAATCAAGGTCCTACGACTTCGACTGGTAAAACAGCACCATACCCCTAAACTGGTCAAACTGTTCCATCTTTACGAATCAATCCGCCTAGCACCATGCAGAAATTCAAGAAAAGCTGAAGTTTTCTTCCAGAAGTTTTCTGAATCATATTTGAGTCATGGACCGGTAAAGCGGTGTGAGCGAGCCATGCTGACAGCAAGAACCATGACGAACACCTACCTACTTCACCTATTTTTTTATCTACACGCACATAAGTTTATGTACTTACAAGTGGTAAGCAAACAAAAAAAACGAGATTATAACACAACACAAGGTCATTAAAATGAAATGTGCAGGTGTCGAACGAAAACATGAAATATGTGTCATTTCCCCATAATATGAATGTTGAACCTGATCCCACTGTACAAAAAAAAAGGCACACAGCCAACCCATCAATTCTAGTTTTAAAATACCACTCATATCCTTTTTAAATATTTCACTCCCTCACCCTCCTGAATGTGTCCTCCCTACTGGAAGCAGGTGTATTCGGGAAAAGCAATAATGACATTCAATTCACTATATCATTTTAGGTTTCAGACACTAATTCTCGTCTCTTCTAATAGCAACAGAGGTAATAACAGTTTTCTGGAAATGATAGTAGAGAAAACAAAAGTTGCTCATATTTGGCATAAATGTCACCCGCAACAACTCTTTTCCGATTTCTAGGCACAAGTTAATCAAAAGCCATGAAAATTGTGCCTTCATAGTGTTGGTCTACCAACTGGCTGCCACCAATTTGATGAAAATACCCATACTCCTATCAGACCTACCCATGTTTATTCAGAAACCCCAGACAACTGGCTTTTCCAATCGATGTGGAATCCGTCACATGCATACGCTATAAGCCCTTATTACAACAAACATACATGTTAGGGCAGCCGATCGAACCGATCAAGCACCCAGCCGTGGTTGTGATAATACGCCCAAATCAAGAAGGCATTCCGGTTTTCTACGCATTACACGAACCATGTCAACATCTTACAACAAAAATAGAACATCATCTGAACTGCTTCGC